GGTTAGGGTTAGGGTTAGGGTTATGTGGGCATAAAAACTCTGGGCTGCCGGCGATGTAGCAATCGATTTCTTAGACTGTCGCGAGTTTTTATACGTGTGGCGAATCATGCGTTGATGCGTTGAGTGTGCGGCGATTATCTAGTCGCCCCGCCGGACCAGCTGACACGAGCAAGCAGTCGCCCGGTCAATTTTCTAATCGCCACTGGCGACTGGGCGACCGCTAGTTTCTCACGCTGTGGACATCTCACCTATCTTTTTGAACACTTCCACAACTTTACACCAGGTATTTATGCTGTTATTCCTCAAAGTCCGCACTTATTGAAATTACATTTCAAATCATGTGGCGTGCGCACGAGTAATGTCACCGGATATGTTGGCAAAACGCAAGGCAGCTATGGTGCATGTATTATTAACGGGGGTGTTCCTGCTTGTGCTCCCGATTGTGCGCACATTGGCGCATCAGGGCGAGTTTACCGACCACCCCGTTAATAATACATGCACCCTTTCACGTACAATAGCTGCCTTGAGTCACATCAGTTGGACCATTTGCTTAGATTACAGCTATGGCAGAATGTGCTATAGCCCTGCGGCAGCGATCCGCGGGCTATAGTACTAGAGCTAGTAGTAGTAGTAGTACTACTACTACTAGTACTAGTACTAGTACTGAGTACTAGTAGTAGAAAAAGTTTTAATTTTTAAATTACTAATTAGAATTTACCAATACCAGAATTGCCAAGGAATAAATAAATAATTATCAATTTTTTAGTTACAACAATTGTAAAAAAATTGTTTACTTGCTTTGGTAAAAAATGTTAACACTATAACTACAGGCCCTTGGAGGCTCAAATTTCAAGAAGAGTATAAGAGCGAAGCGGCGTCGCTTCGCTCTTATACTCTTCTTGAAACTTGAGGCTTGAGCCTCCAAGGGCCTGTGCACTAACTGAGACATGTTTTTCAGACTATTGCATTGCCTGGTCTCACTTGTAATCCTCTTGATGAAACCAATAACATTAGGTGCACTTACATGGTTTTTACCAGACTAACATTAGAACAAAATGGTTGCAAATTCATAGTTACTAACATCTCCAATCTTATCTATTTACGTCATCGTAGGTCAGACCTCGTTGTGAGAGTCAAGTACTGCAATACATTGCCTGATATCCCATTTGATCCAAAGTTTATCACATATCCATTTGAGTCAAACAGGTAGGTTATAGTTGTTTTCTCCAAAGTATTATTGTTTAGTAATAGATTCCTGTGAGAAAGCAGGATATTTATTGCAGTAAGAATTTAATATTTAATTTTAATAACGTGCAACATACCTAGGTGCTTCACTGGTTCACAGGCTATGCATCAAAATCACATAATCTAGTGAATCTGTATAAGTAGTTATTAGATATCTTAATTTTTGATTGATCTTGATATTTTGTGCAACATCAACTGCTAGTGTCTAACTTTCTGTATACGATATAAAAGCCATGTTTCACCGAGATGTTTGTAGATTTGCATTATGATTTGTATTATATCCAGGTTTGTTCAGTATAATCCAACATCTCTGGAACGAAACTACAAGCATGATCTTCTCACTGAACATGATCTTGGAGTTAATATAGATCTGATTGATCCAGACACGTACAAGGTTGACTATAATGGTAATCACTTGCTAAGAATCATGTCATAATATGATGCTCGTGTGCATGTACTTTATGCTGGTCCTGTGTATGTGTGTGTGCGTGCGTACATGTGAGTGCGTGCATGAGGGAGTATGTGTGTGTGTGTGCGTGTGTGTGTCTGTGTGTGTGCATACTGCATATATGTGCATTATATGTGATTCATTTTTACAAATTTATTTAGGGAAATATGGAAGGAGCATCACATATTAATATATATATAAATTCTGTAATAACCAGTCATATTAATATAGATTCTAGCACTATCTATGTAGAAGTCAATGTCCATTCTACACAGGTACATTCGGTATAGTTTCAGCTCTGTATCTTGTTACTTGCTGAACTCGTGAGAATAAACGTGGTCATGTTTTGCAACCATTAACAGATGTGCTGGACCCAGCTGATGAGAAGTTACTGGAGGAGGACGTTGCAACCCCGCAGGACTCGAAGCGCTCTCGCCAACACAGCAAGACTGTCTCCTGGATGAGAAAGACAGAGTACATTTCCACTGAGTACAACCGATTCACGCCAAGTGCAGAGAAGGCAGAGGCTAAGTAAGTACATGCCCGTGCATCACATGAAGTTGTTGTCTGACAGCTACTATAGGTAGATAATGTTTATTAAGCACCATTACTTCACAGTAATTACAAATAATGCAGAAAAAAATTGTACACGAAAGATAGCTTGCCAAAGTGAATAGCCACATTAATATCAGCTGTCATTTCTCCCTCGAATTCAGTGTCACAGTTGTTTTGCTGATAGTTACGATACAGATGTGGCAGTGTTTGGCATCGGTGTTAAATAAATCAACAATATTGTTGCTCTTCAATACGAAAGGATTGGATACAGTGTGCGAAAGAAGTTCAAGGAAGATGATATGTATAAGGACAGAGAGAGTCAACTGCAGGCAATTGACAAGTCGTTCGAGCAAGCCAATGAGCCAGTAAGTGTTGGTCATGCCATTAAGTCATGCTTGGTGACCAATATGTTAAGTTCTCGTGAGTATTGTGGTAATCCTTCTCATCCAGTCCATATCATACTAAAAACACTACTTGACATGTGAAATCACATAGGTAATTTTTTTATGAAAATTTCCAGATTGAACGGTCAAATTGTCAGACCACTGAAATAATAACTGTTGGCATATTTTCCATGTAAGCATTGGTTTTGCTGTTCTGTAATTTGTAAATATAGATGAATGAGCTACAATTGATGATCTAGTTTTACATACATTTATTTAAAATGATAAGTAATTCGATCATGGCATACAGTCTGCGGTTAGTACAGTGTATCTTTGCACTCATACTTTATATGGGTTATATAGTTTATTCATAATGAATGTTTTATTTTTACCATAGTGCGTGTGTGCATTTATTTAAGATTACTCATGTGCATTTTAATAGACTGCTTGGCACCTGTTACTTTACAGATTGCTAAGCACTACAGCAAACCAGGTGTGACACCAGTTGAAGTCCTACCATTGTTTCCTGATTTTAATGTAAGTGAGGTCTAATGTAACCAAAAGGTTCTAAAAATATTCACGGAAATGCCGCATTCTTACTTCGAGTGTAGGACCATCACTGCCCAGCATGTATAGTATTGGTAATCACTTTGTTCCATTAGTTGTACTTTATTTGTAGGGCTGGATACATCCATGTGCCCAGGTAATCTTCGACAGAGATCCAGCACCACAGGGTATCTCTCAGCCTGCACAGCTGGAGGAAATGTCACAAGCACTCATCAGGTAATCGCAGTTAGTTTAAATTTTATGGTGTGTGTATTGACTTATATTCAGTAGTCTTGCTGAGTAGTAGACCCCTCACCCCCAAATGGGAAATGTCCAGGCACAATATGAGTCTGTTTGACCAATTCATGCACAATAGCTCTATTGCATTAACCTTCTGTATAGAATTGGTAAAAAAAATGGTAAAAAATTATCTTCATTTTGATTAGGTTGCACCTGAGCAAATCTATGTCTTTATCTCTTCCTACTCTCTGTACTCTGCTTATTGGTGTCTGTTTTTCTATTCTACTTCTCTGTTACCATCTGCACATTTCCTCTCTATGCCTCTCCCTTCCCATTTTGCTTTACTTTTCCTTTTCTCTCTATCGCCCTCTCTCTCCCCCTCTCCCCTCTCTTTCTATCTCACGCTACGTCCTCTCTATCTCATTCTATCCTCACCTGGCTATTAATTTGTTCCGCCCACTATTTATGTTGCTTTTACTCTACCACGCTTCCTCTTTTCTGTAACCCTTCTGTATCCGGTATCCTAGCATGTTCTATTTTCACTCATCTCACTAATCTCTCAATATACTCATTTATAATTGTAAACCTTTCCTTTTGTTAACATGACAGAGGTATGATGGACGAAGAAGGGAACCAGTTTGTCGCGTACTTCTTGCCAACAGAAGAGACGTTGAAGAAGAGAAAGCGAGACCAAGAAGAAAGTATTGAGTACAATGATGAGGAAGTGTAAGTTGTCCATACCTTGGATTATAGGTCTTCATCTTCTTATCTAGTTTTAGAAGTTTCAGAATATAGAAGCCATCACCCTGTTGCCCATTTATTAACAATAGTCTTGCCAGGTGTTGTGTTACCTATTTGTACTACAGGAAGTCGCCAGGTCTGGCACATTATACCAGTTTTATAGGGCCTGTCGTTTTCACGTTAATTTTGGCCCTTATTCCAAAAGGAAAGGCTGTTTATTTACAATGAGTAATTGCGTTTCCAAGCTTAGCTGGCACCCAGGTTTGATGCCAGTGCTAGGGCCTAAATTAATAAGAAACTAAAACCAACATCCACTATTATTCCAGAGTTGATGACATGATATACGAGTCTGGTTAAAATGTGGTTTAGGAACACAAAATGGGTCTAATGTTTGCTGCCTGCTCTGTCACAGATATGATTACACCATAGCGAGGTCGTATAACTGGACGGTGAAGAACAAGGCTTCAAGAGGCTATGAAGAGAACTATGTGATCATCTTCCACAAAGATTCTGTCAGCTACAACGAACTAGAAACAAAGTATGAACACACATCTAATTGGATTTTATATCATAAAATGTCATAAGTAGATGAATGCAGTCATTAGCTGAACACTGGGTAATTGGTAGTTTCCTGTGTGTTCCTGCAGGGTTTGTCTCAGCAAGCGGCGGATGAAGGATGGAAGTTTCCATACGCAGAAGTCCAGACTGTTAGTCCGACACAGGCCCCTCACTGAGATGGAACATAATGCACAGGTAAGCCTCTCTGTGCTCACTTAACCACATATGTTTAACTCCGAATATGAAAGGTTGTATTCATACGTAGAAAAGGGCGTAAACATAATGTTGACGTAGAGTCACATTAGATTTATTTGAATGTGACCTTTTCACGCTACTGTATATAAATCATGTGGTGTAGATTCGGGTAAATTGTAACGTTGGCATACTGTCATACTGTCACACTGAAAATGACAGTGTCATATTCTCATGTACAATATGAGTAAATATAACGTTGGTTTAAACTTGAAAGTCTCTGTCATTAGCAGCACCTTTGCTATGATATAAGTAGCCTGTAAGCAGGCCTATTGAAGATAATATAACAATATCATTGCCAAACTAGGCTGGGTAGACAGGAGATAAATTCAAACGTCAATAATATCATGAAATAATTTTGCGTATGTATTTTAAGCAGTATTGTACTATGTTAACATTGCAGCAAGCACGGTTGAAAGCCCTTGAGCCACCTACTGAAGAAGATGAAGAAGACATTGCTGAAATGGAAGAAGAGGAGAAGGTTGACCAGTCTGGTAAGAGATTCAGTGTGAGGGAGAAGTTGTTCAGGTTCGAATTCTTCCGTTAATACTTCCATGAATTGTTTCGATTGATTTCTTCCGGGGATTCTTCATATGTGAAGTAGGTACACTGCTAAGGGTTGACAGACACTAATAGGTGATGAAATGCTGTCTCATATTTACATTGTTTGTGTGTGGTGAGATGGCATCTGGTTTTGTTTAGATGAAGATAAAGCAAGTGGATCTGATAAGGAAGGTAGCGACCACGAAAGTGTGGCAGGCAGCCAGAGGTCACGCATCCGGTCAAGGTCACACAGTCAGTCAAGGTCACGCAGCGGATCAAGGTCTCCGAGTCGGTCAAGATCCCGATCCCGGTCTGGATCTAGATCGCGGTCAAGAAGTCGTTCTGGATCAGGGTCACCTAGTGGTAGCGAAGCAGGCAGTGGCGGGAATGCAAGTGACCAACACAGCGGCAGTGAGAAAGGTATGTGTCAGGTAGCTGGGCAGCTAATCTGCATTGTGGGAGAGTGGGTGGGGCAATGCGCACTTACAGTGCCCTTCGTGAGTTCCATTAAAAACCAAGGGTGATAACTATAGGTAACTTTTTATGCATATCAGCTGTTTCTTAATTAAACATTAGGTGGCATGGATCTGTTACTTATATTGAGGTCATGAAGATAGTAATCACTACAGATGACAGTGTTATCAGCACCAGTGAAGACAGATCCTTGTGCATATTATTGTAATTGGGTTGTGACTTTCTGTTTGTATAGCTGGTAGTGATGCTGAGCACTCAGGAGGAAGCAGTGGGAGTGAGAGTGAAGAGGAACAGGTCAAAGCCAATGCAGAGAAGGAAATCTTTGGCAGTGTCAGTGGAAGCGAGGACAGTGATTAGGCATGCAGTACATCAGTTGCGTATATACTGGCATCACTGTAAATGTCGACACCATGCACACACGTCCATGTTTCTGTTAAACTACTGATTAGTGATGATAATTAGTTACCTGGCAATTATTGCATATTGGAAGAAAATTAATACTATCATTGTGAAACTAGTGATTCATTGTAAATACATTCGTTTTGAAGATAACTGGTTTTGTTCATTTACACTGTTTCAGTTGTAGCTGGGCTATATTTGTAAACAGTTGAAGTCATGATATCAGTCTCTAAATATTTCATTATTGTTAATTATTCCAATGTACACACAATGAACCACTAAACGTTACGTACATATGGAAGTTCATCGTAATGGTAAATTACAGTTTAATATAAGACATGAAATTGTTTATGGCACAACCTCTCCTTGGAGCCTTCTTTGACGCGGACGTATAATATAGGGTAGGTATAGGTATAGGTATAGGGTCTCATTGTATAGGGCAACAGACAAACAGACTATTTTAACCATATATTTGATGGAGTTCCAGAATGTAATGCAAATAAAAGACGAGTGCTGAAGCAATCGAGATGCTTGCAATAATAAGCTTTACGATTCTATGACTATTGCAGATCATTGCATGTTACGTTTGACGGTGCACTGAAACACTACGTAAAAAATGACAGATCCGCCAAGGAAAATAAATGGTGTCTTTAGACATCAATACTTTATTGTACACGTACATAACAACAATGCAGTAGTTTACTTGGGCACGTACTGGTGCTCACACATTCCTCGAAACCTCTGCCATACCAAGCTGCTCTCACCTAATAACATGTTTGCTATTCAGTGTGAACTACTGCATAGGATCATCAGGCTAGTGTGATCTCTAGCAGAGCTGAGCAAGCACGATGCAATAACCTCGGCAGACCTAGACCTGTGGGTAGTGTGGGGCACAACCAGAAAGCAACAAATGTCAGTAACATGCAGCAGAACATTGCTTTTTAAGAAAATGCAGACACTATAAAAAAAGAATAGGTTTATAATCATATAATCAACGTATATCATTGAAAATTGGCACCCTGGTACAGTATCTCTAAAGCAGTACATCCTACTGGTGACTGCAATGCTTTGCAGTTAAAAATGAATTTGTGCCGATACTGAAGGAACACAACCAATTTTTACAAATGCAGCTGGGTACAAACGGGCAGCTACAAACAGCTTGGACATTTTAAGAGGTACTACACCAACACACACACACACATGTATAATATAAACATATTACACGAACACACCGCGCACACTCGTACATACTCGTGTGTGTATGTGTGTGTGTGTGTGTGTGTGTGTATATATATATATATTGAAAGATGGTCCCTTTACCTAATGTTCAGCAAGACTAGGTGTGGATACAAACAAGTTTATAGACATCCTCATCTTCACGACAACATCTGTCTCTCGTTTCACGTGCTGTCTCAAAGAACATTGTAGCCACAGTTACAACGAATGCTTCATTGCTGTAGCATACATGCTCCCGGCAAACACATATTAAACATCAGATGTTGTCATTTCTCCAGCAGACTCGAATAAAGTCACTCACACGTGATTTAATTATGTTTAAATGGAGATGAGAGTGGTGAGATGAAGTAAAATAGTGATATGCACTGATGATCTCCGTTAACTATCTATTTCATAGCGGCACCTCGGCAATGAATAGTACTTAGAAACCCCCAACAAAGAAAATCTACATACTCCATATACATCCCCATCTGTGTCGCGCTCACTGGATGGCGAGTGAGTCAGCTCACACTGGTAGCTGGCAGAACACAGATCGAATCGAACCCGAAAGGGTGATTACTGTCTGTCGAGAGCCGACCGAGGCGTCACACTATTGAGGTATATCCTGTTGAATACAGCGTGCAATGATGACGTCATGCAGGTGTAGCATGCCACCAGCTGGTCAGGTGGATTTCTTGTGTAAGGTGAGTGACACGGAAGAGAGTAAACTGAATCACAAACTTGCACCAAAATTTCACAAGCTGACACTCTTTGAAGAAGCACAACTGACTAGGGACGTCTCGTAACAATATGTCTATTAAAATATCGAAAAAACCGACAACTTTACACAACGTTCATCATCAGCATGGGGTTAGTGTTAAAAAGGGAAACATTTGTACAATACCAAGACACCAGACACTGGCGATTGACACAGATTCAGAATGTAGCAACTGACAATGAGCTCACTTCTATATCAATGCAACACTAAGAAGGAATAACATATATGACAATACCGTCGATATGCTTTGCTTAGACGTGGCATATACCCACACACACGCAGGCACGCACACACATAGCTTTCATAATATACATATATCAAATATTTTACTTGTTTTCAACCTGATGAAGAACTGGATACATTTTTGGAGTAAATGCGAAAGTAATGCGCCGGCAAACAAATGCTATAGGTTCCGCATTCTGTTGATTCCGCATGTCTAAAAGACATATGAAAGTAAGCAGGTTATAATACACACACACATATAAATATATATATATATATATATATATATATATATATATATATACATGATAGAACATACCATATAAACACTCGAGTGATAACCATGATCATGGATATTCTTTAGTCGTTAAATTAATGTGAAACCCCCGCCAGTCCCAATTTCAATTCCCCATTTTGATTTCACTTTATAACCTATAACAAAATCCATAAAAATTAGCCAACCCTGCTCGAAAGTTACCAGTCCCGGAAAAGTCAATGATGAGATTGGCCAAATGGATTGCTGGTTCAAATAAATAAGATGTAGACTGAATTTGCCAAGTGATTAATGAAGGTCTAGTGAACGTATGTGGCAAGTTTCGAGTCCACCTTCCGAAAACAATAGATAAGCTTCCTGTGGGTAATTCACTAAAAACATTCTGAACAGTGCCAAATTGCTGCACGCTGCATACATGAACTAATTCCAAGTGTGTCGCAAGTTAAAATACAGTTTACATGATAAAAATTCTAATAAAAATAAAAAAGCTATATTAATTTACTAGTTATGGATAGCAAAGCAGACATTTACCCTACGTAAATGCATCTGTTAACACAGTTTTAATTTGATAATGTCTGTGACTTACTATTCATGTGTTCGTATTCATCAAAATATCTATGCACCAGATGTGCATTGATACACCTAAACTTTATATTAAATACATTCAATCTATACAATTCTCGTGTTCATAACATCTATAAATCGAGCATGAATTCACTCAATGTTCATTGTATTTTTGTTTGCTTATACAAAGTTATTTAACTTCACATTGACAACTTTCATTTGGCAATAATAGCTATTATCATCACTGGATCATGCCACCAATGTACGAACTGATACGTTAAATATAATTACCTAATTAGGTAAACCCGCATATGCTTCCATTATATCTGATACACGTGCGTGCATGCACATGCACTCAAACGTGGTTACAAGGCGTTCTATCACTCACCTGGCACACCTATCAATGCCACATTCTTACACATCCGTCACGAACAGCTGCATACCCGTGTCCGTGTGAAACATTTATTCCTGGCTCCACCACTCGTGCCAATTGTTGCTCATGTATCTGGTACACCAGCGAATGGATGGAGCCAGCAGCAAAAACCAGGAAGAGCATACACCTTGAATTTCTCACTCGTAGAAAAAGATAGCAGCCGTTGTCCTGCATGCCAAATGCAATGAAACAATTAGCCCCATCTACTTTTTGAGGATTGTGTAAAAAAGCATTGTATCACATCTTCACGTAAAAAAGAATGTGATGCAATGCTGCCTGCGACAAATTTCTTACACGACAGACTACCACCGCTCACTGCACGAACTTGGCAATACAAAGTTTACAACACCAAGATCCCAGAAACCTGTACACCAGCGCTAGACCAAACTCGCACTGTATGTGAGTAGTTAGAGACGAGCGTCCTACGCAGTGGTTTACGAGTGATATGCAGTTAGTATATGTGGAGCAAGCTGTCGGCTCATAGAAACGCAGGCACGTGTATGTTGCCATCCCCGAGGTCTAATGTTGCCGTTGGCGATGCCTCTCCGATGCTGATCTGACTCAGGGAACGTGCTGCCATGGCGATATCGGGCATGACATCAGAGTAGCTGCTGTCATGGCTGCACCCGCTGGCTTCAGCCTGCGTGACAGACAGAATAAAACACACGATCCATTAATGATTCTTCATTACCGTAGGTGAAAAACCACAATTTCCAATTCTGAATTACCTTTAATTCATGATTAAATACAAATGGTGGCCCAAGAGAAAACACGTCCAATATACAAAAAGCCAAAAAAAACAAGAATGCCACGGCTTTTTAACTGCAACTATCTACAAACTTCCACGTCACCACTACGTTCTCGCTGCACTCACACTCAGGCTGTAGGAATCCTCCATGACTAGAGTACTTGCTGCGATCAGTTCCGGCGCCACCTTCTGGACCGGCACCCTCATCTGCGCGGCCGACCTTCTCTCCTTCGGCTCCTCCTCGTGATGAAGCTGTCCGACATTGCTCAGCACGTCGGCCACCATGTCGGGCAAGCCAAACTCCCTGACCACGCGCAATTTGATTTCGTGGTGGACGGCCCGCCGGTCACCACACGCCAAGGCCCGCTGGACGCTGGTCAGTTGATGGAGGTCACTCTCGCGTTTCGTCATCGCCTGAACGGTGTCCAGATCTGGAACTGTAAACAGAGCGCAATGCCAGCTGTAAGAAGCGATGAGATCTTCGTCACCTAACAGACGACAGACAGCCAACTTTCGATAATCGCTTCACGGATACCTTTGTCTAACAGCATACCTCCAGATGCTTTGTTTACTGGTAGTCCCCTTCCCTCGTGAATCGATCTGCCTGCCCGTCTATACACGAACCGCCCGACCTGCTTTCCAGTATCGTGACGATTGCGCTCACACACAAAAGGGCTCACATGAAAGAGGCCGTTCGAGAAATAAAATAATTGTCATTGTCACGCGTCCTCACCGGGTATGTCGCCGGCAATGATGTCGACGGCGAGTGGCAGCCGCTGACTGCTGGGCAGGTCTGCGTAGTACTGCTGGCACTCCTTGTCCTCGAGCATGTACAGCGTGTCGGGAATGTGGGACATGCGCACGCGACACTGGCTGCTCGGCGCGACGCCCTCGCCGAGACGCTCCTCCAGCGCCGCCTGTAGGAGAAAAAATGCAACGTCGACGCTTTACCAGGTATATATATACGCACGTCTGACCGGGAGGATACACGCGTACGGCATATGGCTACGACTGTGAGCATCGGTGGCAGCGAAAAGAGATGTGCAAGGCAGCGAGGCCTATACATGCCTGCGGGGAGGCCTATACATGCCTGCAGTAGGGAGGTGGCGCACCATAAGCCACCTATGACCACGTGCAAACGAACGGGCTTTCTGCATAAACGCTAGTGTTGTCAATCGGTTGTAATTTCGTAATCGATCATCGGTTGGACCCAAGTAACCGATGATCGGTTACAATCGGTTACTCGGGGTGTTGAATGCCTGCGTGTGCGTAACGTCGTGTGCATGTACGTGTGTGCATGTATGTGCTTGTTTAGCCCTGTTTACTGTTTGTTTTGCACTGTTTACTACTGTGTGTATAATACATGTATGTTAATAAAGGATAACTTGTATAGTAGCGATGATATCTCTGATTCTCTGATCTTTTTTTTTTTCGATGAAATTGATTATGGATTTTGATAACCAAGCGCTTGGTTCGAGCCACTGTTCAACCGATGATCGAGTATAATCGATGATCGTGACATCACTAGTAAACGCGTGGCAATAACGAGCTCGTGTCACCTTAACTTCGTCCATGTACGGTGTGAAGAGCCGTGGTCGTTTGTAGACTCCGCCCTGCTGGCCGGCCAGCCATGGGTTAACTCTCTCCCCCAGCTCATCTCCTAGCATGTGCAGTGGAGGACGACTGATGAGGCCACGCCTACAAACAAACACGCTACATCAAAACCAAATCTTACAAGCAGCCACAATGAAATTCTCTTAACAACAGCTTATAATATAGATGAACCTTGGTCAGTATAGCATATGGCAAGATCAAAATGTTAAGGAACCCTTAATATAGAGACAAAAACTACGTAGCAAGTATTGTTTCATACAAACATGAAAATAAATATCTTAATCTAAACGTCATTAAGAGACTTCATTAAAATCTAATACCAATTAATCAGATATGTAATCCAACTATTACTAGAGTCTATATCAAGAATGATGCCCCTAATGGAGGGAGAGGTATGCAATACCGATACTGAAACAACTATTTCTAGAACGCCATCTAAAGACCTCAGATTTTTGTGTGACCTATGAAATCAGGACTGAACGGCCAACCTGTTTGATACTAAACATGAGACATATTCACCAGATTCGTCTCTCTCCAAGACTAACCAAGATATATGCCCCTTGCTAGATGATGCAGCATCCCTACCTGATGGCATTGTTGAGTATGTCACTGGTTGTAGGAATGACGTGCTCCAGTCTCACATAGCCAATGATGTCAGAGAGTATCTCGCGGAGCTCTCGATCGCTCAGATCTCGCTTCTTGACGCCCTTCTTACTCACACTGTGAGCCGTGTGACTCAGTAGGTTGGGTTCTGCGATGACAAAAGATGTTAGTCAACTACATGTTTGTAGCACAAGTACGATAGAAACTTACATTCGTAGCGCACAAGTGACTACAATGTACATGTGACACGATAAATTAGCATAGATAGAAGTCTGTCAAATGAATATAAATTCTAACAACATAGACACCAAGAACATGCAACTATGTTATTTCTCTTCTACCAACTTAATAACTTTAACAAATCAGTAATAAACATGTCTACATAATGTATAAGCAGGTACATACAGGCAGGCACTACCACGATTATAGGAAATAATTAAATAATGAACATATACCTCTTTCCTCAATTTGTTTCATCAGTTGTTGCTCTCCCCACTTTATTACTGCTGTTAGAACTTCCAGCTCACTTGCCTGTGGAATGTCAAGTAATATTTTTCAAAAGCTTACAAATAAAAGTAACATCACATGTCACACCAGTCTGCTGAAATAATATAGAACAATACAAAAGACTCGGGTGACTTTCACACTGAACAAATCATCTGCAAGAACAAATGTATACACGTTAACGTGATAGCAAACATTTTGTACTGTATCTCCGGTACTGTAGGACAAATCAGTTGTGATATTGATGAGTCAGGGTCTGACAAACACCAGTCACCTTTCTGAATCAACAACAAGTTTTAAATAAGGAACATTCCTAACAAAACCACTTTGGATATTCTCTGATGCTGATTACTTCACTTGTTCAGTTGGTTTTGACTCAAGTTACACTGATGTTTTTATCTGTCAACCCCACCTAAAAATATATATACATAGTTCTGATGTGTTACATATTGTCTACTATTTAGTATTTGAATATAGTTTATTCTAAAACAAGTGCCGCAGAGCGACAGCACTCAACTGACGTGTACTGTAGCCGAGTATTCTTCTGATAAACTTACTGGCAACCGAATCAAGTGCGCCCTCCCGCCACCACGTTCGCGCTCAGAGCATATATCTAGGATACTACTAATAGTAACAAGTGCCGCATAGCGACAGCGCTCATCTAACGTCTACTGCGGTGACTCTGTGGTGGAGTGGAGGGATTCTAGTAAACCCGGCCTGTTAGTCCCAAATGTGTTCACATACACGCCGAAACAGTGGAATGCACAGGGATGGTATCAGGAACCTTCTCAAAAGAATGTTCGTTGGGATCGTTATGAAAGTTGCCACGAGATGGCGCGTACGTTTAAGTGTCTTCAGATTAAAGATGGAAGCTCCCATCATTCGTAGTAGCAACAACTATTTGCAAGACAGAATAGGTAAGCACTCATCCATTTACCTACGCAAGCCTACAGGCTGCAAATTGCAATAGAGAACTGCCACCTGTAACCAATTAACGCAGGCAAAAACTGCCCCAACACATGCACTGGCAGCAGCCACTGGCAGTGGCATACGTTACATGTAACATACTGACAGTACAGAATGACATAGAAATTATACGATTTAAGGAACATACACCTTCTTTAACCAAATTTAGCTTTTGAAATTTCACTGTGACATTGTAGCCTCATACATCCAGGCATGTATCTATTCTACTAGCAAACCCGGCAGTCAAATTCTTTCTAACAGACAGTCAACAAATCCAAGTTTACCCCTCCTCTTGTGGATCAAAAGGTTATCAGACACTTACTCTTCGCACGTCAGCGGAAAGCACATTTCATGGTCCTTTTAATAAAGTGATAAAAATGGTAGGTCAGCGCTGAAACAAAAAAGTTTTGCACTGAGTCCGTTAGACCATGTCCTCAGAAAATGTCTAATATCTGACCTTTCCCCCACTGCCCTTTGACCTGTGACCTCCAATTTCACGCTGGTGATGGGTTTCCTCCCCATTACACTATACATCGAATATTAAGAGCTGTTGAGATTTGTGCCGCAATTCCGAATTTCCTCCTATACCTTAAGTTAAGGTGGAAATATTCCCTCTCCATTGACACACCTTGACCTTTGACCCTTGACACCCAAATTCGACATCCCGAGTCCTTTTCGCGATCCCCCCGAAGTCCCAAATATCAAGACCGTTCGTCGAGCGGTTAAGATTTGTGCCCAACTTTTGACGAACGCACGAACGGACGGACGCACGGACAATCATGCGATTCTACAAGCTGCATCTGACTTCGTCAGCTGAGCTAACTAGGTTTCAATCATCAGGGTTGAATATTAGCTTGGTACACATTCCCTAACCTGTAAGTAGTCTGACTTGAGGGCCTCCATCAAGAGGTGTTGCTCCATGTCGTATAGAACAGGCGAATTAGCTATGCTCACAAATTCCTCACGGAGGAAATGCATTGCTTGTCGGTACACCCAGTCAGAGCCATGAGGTTGAGATGCCCAACGCAGAACTGACAGCATGTTGTCAGTATTCAGGTTTTCAATGATGATGTCCTCGCTCCCTGTAAATTCAACCAGCGAAAGTTGTAAAATGTAAGTGAGAGATGGGTATATTTAGGTCATCACTGATCAAGATCTCCCCCGGCCATTAACATGCGCCAGCTGTGAGACGCCATCTGATATAGAACTTTCTGCGTCATAACGTAATGCACAAAATTAACAAAACTAATATTACAAACAAATTCTTATGGAGACAATGAACACCCACCTAATCAAAAACCCTGCATGCAAATCAGCAAGAACAAAAGATATAAATAGAACCATCTACGCAATCATCCGAAACATCGCTCCGCCGCTCGGTCCGAGCACACGCACCCGCCGCCTACCTTGCGATAAGATCGCGAGATCGAGGAACCTCCCGATCTGATGCACCTCCATCGCCTCGTCGATGGCCAGCTGGGGAGTCTTCGGCTTCACGTCGGGTTCGGTGGCTGCGCGCAGCACGCAGCTCAGGTCCACCGCGTCGACGTAGAGCGAGTGCAGCAGCACCAGCGCGTAGCGCCGCGGAATCACGTTCTCATCGAGCACGATCCGCGTCGTCGTCGCTGTGGCGGCGTCGCCCTCGGCACGCGCGCGCCGCGCCAGCAGGTTGCGGAAGAAGAGCGAGCGCGCGGCGAGGATCGCGCGGTGGCAGCGAAACTCCTGCGAGTTGGCCGAGAAGAGCAGCACGACGTCGCCGCTCTCGCCGGCGCCCTCTAGCAGCTCCTGCAGGTCGCCGTCGAGCGCGTTCGGCGTGCCGAACTCGTCGCTGAGGCGTGCGAGCACGTCGGCGTCCTCGCCGCCCGCCGCCGCAAAGTCGCCCGTGTAGAGGCCGCGCAGGAGCGCCGAGAACGTCGCAGCGCGCATGCCCGGCGCCGCCGCCGCCGCCGCGTCGATGGTGACGCGCGCGCCACGGCCAGGGTGGGCCGCGAGCAGGCGGCGGAAGTACGGGCAGCGCGCGGACAGTATGGCGCGGTGCGCGGGGAAGACGGCACGCTGGAACACGAGCTCAACGTCGGCGCAGAACTTGTAGTCGTAGAGGTCGGACAGGTCCTGCTTGGCGGACGGCGCGGGCGGTCTCGCTAAGTCGGCCTGGATCGTGAGTTCCTTGAGCACGGCGAGCTGCTCGTACTCCTGCACTAATGTGCTCAGCTCCGACGAGTTCCACGTAGATATCAAGTCTCGGATCGCGCGAGCGTGGTCGAGGGACTTGCTGAGACGCTTGTAGTGACGTATGATCTTGCGTCTCAGCGTTGCAAAGCCTGAGTGCTTCCGTTTCTTGATCTTCATAAGATCTGATGGTGGAGACTTTGCAATGATATTTCCTTTGGAAGAGGATGCAGTTGGAGGATTACAGGTAGGGGACGCCTTCTCCCCACTGCTAGATACATTAGCACCCATATTGGCCTTGGTCGTCGCACCAGCAGAAATTTACATTGTTGTGATTAACTGGCAATCATCTGAAAAGAAATATTAAAGTAATGCTGGGCAAGCTCAAGTAAATTGACTGACAATAGGAAATGCTGTACTTAAATGATGGTACTGTGTCAACAGGATACTTTTTACCCTTACCAGTTACACCCAAGTTCAACTAGTTATTCAAACACAATGAACATTATTTCTATCCATTTGTGTTTAAAACAAAAATGATATTAGTACTATACATTTTAAATTTTGTAATTTGTTGACAATTATGTAATTTTTGGCTAGAGTGCTATGAACTAAGCATTAGTGTTGGGAATTGGTCTAAAAATTCATATCAATCATACATATAACTTTTAAGTTTTAGTACTGGCTAGTTGCAGGATATATGGTAGGTATATCCAGTGGCGTAGTTAGGGGGCCAATGAGGGCCATGCCCCCCCCCCTGTTGATCCGAAAGTAAAAAAAAAGGTTCTACTAAAAAGAGAATTGTCGTAGTCAGAATGAAGGCTGTACATGTACTCAAAAGTGCCTCAAATACCATCTCCTGCGATCTACATTTTCTGGGGGAAGGACCCCCATACCCCCCGCCTGTTTTTCAACCCCACTCCTCGGAATCCTGGATCCGCCACTCAACAGTTCAGAACATATCTTGGGCGCAGAGAACAACGAACAAAAATGTTGCCTTTTCACATGGCGCCCAAAACAAAGATTGCAGAGCTGAGAGGACGGAGGCGGAAGAACCATTAACATATCAAGTCATCCACTTAGTGCCTATTTTGCGCAGTTCGCTGTTTTTGGCCCCCCTTGTTAAGAAATCCTGGCTACGCCACTGTGTATATCTGTACTGTAGTATGTACTACCATTCCGATATCCGAAAAATTATCTGGTCCCAAGGGTTTCAGATGATAGACTGTGTACTGTATTATTATATATATATATACATATAGTTCATGAATAGGTAGGTAGTGCCCAGGATGTAAGTTGTAACACTAACACTGTAACAGTGTAACACACTACCCGGTACCCGCCCTTTCCATTTCTGCAGGAAAAGAGTCGTAAGTGGAATGTGGCGGTGGCATAGTTTATTAGGTAGGATGTGTGAAGGAGGCAACGTACTACACGCTAATAGCTAGTTAGATATTTAAGTTACCATATAATAATGAGAATGACACGAAAACGTTAATTGCTAGGCTAGTAAAGTAGGTAAACGAAATTGCAAGAATTGAGCTTGTCAAAAATATAAATTATTAATATTATTAATGCCTACTTTGTAAGGGTACCAGCCTAGTGCTAGCATATTCTGCTACTCTATTTTCAGCTAATCACTCACCATATAGTATGGGATATTACCTATTAACATAAAGTTAACACATTACACAATACGACAATACGTCTCAATATGACAATAACAAAATAATTAGCAAGAAACTTGGCCTTGGGAGTTCCGCACGGTGGCGCCAAAGTCGCGTGAGCGCCATCTGGTGCAAAAGGTTAAAAGCTTTTTCGTCGCTCAATGACATCACAGTTTTTCTTTTTTTTTAATAGGGTTAGGGTTATGGTTAGGGTTAGGGTTAGGGTTAGGGTTAGGGTTAGGGTTAGGGTTAGGGTCACAATGCGCAAAACCAGGAGGTTGAGTCCGTACCCCCGGGAGGGACTAGTCCCGTACGGACGTGACGACACTATGAGTATGACGTCATTGAGCGACGAAACAAGCTTTCATCCTCTTACCCAACTGCATGATCTGAGGAATCTGGTAGAAATCTGTGAATATTATCATTTATATTTGTTTTGGTTTGTTTTATAGGTGTTGGTGTTTGTAATTGTTTAGTAGTGTTTTGTGTGTTGCTGTTGGCGTTGCTATATTCATTGTGGATTTATCCAGAATAACGCTTGTTTACAATATCGACTTGAACTTTACGTCTATCGTCTAAGTAATACTAATAGTAATACTATTACTAATTAGTAATAGTAATACTAATAGTATCGAGTCTGGCCATGTGACGGAACCGTGTGTCCGTGTCGTTATTTATTTATGTGCCACTACTAATACTAGTAATAGTACTTGTTTCGAGCGAAAATAGGATCGCACACCGAGAGGTGGCACTGGTGCTGTTTTGAGGCACAAGCACAGAAATAGAATAGAAGTAGAACCATTGATATATATAAACATATATAATATAATTGTGTATTGATATGATTTCTATGAGTAGAACGCTCGTACACAGCCGCTCAGCATTGTGCGCAGCGTCGCCAGTTTCTCACAACTGTCACGTGACCAGCGCCATATTGGTGCAGTCACCCTGCTTAGCGCATCACTAGTAAAGCTTGAGGACAAATGCTTTAAAATGCCTACATGTTGCGTGGCCATCAACTGTTGCAATCGGATAGAGAAAGGATATGGAAAGACGTTACACAGGTATTTTTCTATAATGTTTTGTAAAAGATAATGTGACGTACTAAGACTAAAAAATCACCGATTAATATTATCCCTACTGACACTGTACTGTACAGCTACAGTACAGTACAAGTACAGTAGCTCCAAGAAACGGTATTGTTAGGGTTAGAATACCGACGTTATTGTATATTGTTGACAATGATGTATATTCACGTTAGTCAGCCAGCCAAGTACAGTGTCAGTAGGTTATTAATCATTGCAGACATTTGCCGAATGTATGTGACAGTGTTATGTGGTCCAATACACTGAAATCACTGTAGTGAAAATGAGTGTATAGATCTAGATCTAGTTAACAAACATTGCCACTGAATTGTTTTACTGTTCACCTCTCAGTCGGGTTACTATTATTAATAACTAGGCCTATCACACCGAGAGGTGGCACTGGTGCTGTTTTGAGGCACAAGCCGGGGAACAAGAATGCGCTCGAAGCTAATAAGTTGTTCCATTTGAGCCCGGGTGCCATTGTGTTAACATGTTAGGTGAGTTGTATCAATTTGATTCACGATAAGTTGTTCAATATGTAAACGTTGGTATTAGGATGTAATATGTTACTGTTTAACAATCGTAAAAGTTTAGTGAATTACAGCATTTGTAATGCTGCTGTCGAAAGACCACAGCCGCGTGTAAATGGCCTATACTAAGCCATTCAAGGCCAAGGCTTACCGTGAAGCACACTGCATGATTATAGCTGGCATTTGACTGTAATGTTATACTGCAAGTTGCAGTACTGTAGAGAGTTAGTGTGAAATTTAACCAGCTTATCTGGTATTTATACAGGATTTATTACCGGCTGAAGTGACCAGACCAACCTTTGTGTGACAGTTCACCACATTGGTTTTATCAGAAAATGGCAGTTAGATCCGGTAACAGTAGTAAGTTAATTTCTGACATTCGGTAATGTTTCATTATGCATTTATGCATATCTTTATGTCTTAGCATCTTTATGTATCTATAAATGACAGAATGTCAACTCAAAATGGATTATTTATGTTTAACTGAAATTATGCAATATACGAATGGGTGATTTGTGTTACTGTTGAGTGTTGTTTAAAGAACCTCAACCTAAAGCTGTTTTGTTTATTCATTCTTCACAGAATTGAATGCTGATCAATAAAGGATCTCATACATTAATACCGGGTGTAACTGCGTTCTTGTTCGTCTACATCGAGCCTTCCAGTAGTAGTAGTAGTAGTAATATTATATCATATGCTGCGGCGGAGCGAAGGGCTATAGGCACTAGAGCTATGTGTCACTGACACTGTGTGTGTGTGTGTGTGTGTGTGTGTGTGCGTGCGTGCGTGCGTGCGTGCGCGCGCGCGCGTGTGTGTGTGCTAAATGTAGAGTAGCAGTATATGCTAGGAGTGGGATGGTACCCTATAAACTGTCAAACTGAGCAGCCAGTAACGAATAACATAGATTTTTGACAAGCTCAATTCTTGCAAGAAACAATTTAGCTCTAGAACAATAGTCTAGACTCTAGAGCTAGCAAGAAACCATGCATATCTCGACAGCAGTAATGCGTACATTTTAGGTAATACTAAATGCCATTTATTCACTTCCAGCATGTCAACCCGATCACGGATCAGTACCAAAATGGCACGACTGCATCATTTACATCCAAAGCGCCCCGGACAGGCTATCCCATTCCCAAAGAATTTAAACCGGCCACAGTTTAATTATGTGTATACCCAACCCACTACAAAGGTACGTCAATTCTAGATACAGTAGAATTTAACCCAGCTTAGTAGGGCTAGCTGCCGAACACGGTACTACTAGGTCACATTGTAGTATCTATGTCAGTTCATACATAATAATCCACCCACACACTGATTAATTATAGGAAGCTAAACATTAGATTTCCATTTTGTGTCCACCACACAGCCATATTGCTGTATTATGAGTACACTACAGGGTTTTCCTCAGGATGAAATTGAATCAGGGGGGAGGGGAGGGGAAACTAGGGGGGTCCGGGTTGCGTGTTTTTTTACCGTAATGCGTAAAATCGCCACCACACCATAGACGGTATTTGGGGTACTTGTATATAAGGCAGCCGAGTCGGTACAGTTTGTGTTAAGGTTTGAGACAGTGTGACTGTTTGTACTTGTGTGTGGTCTGCAGTGCATGCATAGTGTGGTACGTTTACTCATTAGTAGTACCGTAAAAATACACGCATCCGGGGGCCTGGTCGAATGGGAATTCTTGACGATCGATTCCCGCGCTGTCAAACTTTTATTGTGGTGGAATTTAATCGGGGCGCAACGATAGAAACGTGGGGGAAGTTTTCCCAAACGGGCCGGGCGCGCCCGGTTTGCGCAACGTAGGGAGAACCCTGCACTAGTCTACTTAGTTTACATTTTCTGCATAAAACAGTCAAATGTCGTGCATCCTAGGTGGCACTGATTCAAAAACGGTTGGGTCCATAAACTTTTGGCATAACTTATCACCAGTTATATATAGTGTGCCCTTCTATAGCAGCTATATATGGTCATTGAATCCTCTAGCAATCTTATCATTTGTGTTTTCCTGCACAAAAGTTATTGGCACCTTATCTAACCAGCAAGTGATGCAACACATGGCAAACTAGGAAGTGCAAATTTACAAAGATACCCCGTCTTCATTAACATTGAAAAATATGAATATCAGAAATCATGTAAGTAATAAAAGAAACTACAAACTGTTCAATCTAGGATGAGATGAGGTCACATGATTTATACACCTAGCAATTCAACAACTAAATTGCTTCTGTATACCATTTTGACCATGAATATGTGCTTACTTCTCCATTTTTGCATTATTTTAGGTTCATTTTGAGGAGGTAATAGGGGATCTGTTTTCTTCACCAGACTCTACTTCTCTGGCTCATTGCATTAGCGAAGATTGTGCTTGCAGTAGAGGAATTGCTTTAGAGTTCAAGAACAGATTTGCTGGCATTTCAGAGTTAAGAAAACAAGGTAATTCAATTGCAGCAATACTTTATTTTCTTTTTTAGCTCATCTGACATAGTCAGATGCAGCTTGTAGAATCGCATGAGCGTGCGTCCGTGCGTCTGGCCGTGCGTCCGTCCGGCCGTGCGTCCGTGCGTCAACAGTTGGGCACAAATCTTAACCGCTTGACGTACGGTCACTATATTGATTCGCAGGTTCTCCCAGTGATCGAAAATACAAACAGGGGAGGGAGGGGAAGGGGGGTAGGGGGAATGGGCGCGAAACTAGGGACGTCCGGGGGGCGTGTCTTTTTTTAAAAATCGCACCGACATCCATAGACGGTAATTCTGGGTTCTGTAGATATAAGATAGCCGAGATCGTGTACACATTAGGCCGTTGGGTTGACAGGTTGAACTGTTTGTACTGTGTATTGTCTGCAGTGGCATTGCGGCACGGTAAAAAATACACTCGCCCGGTTCCTGTCGAATGGGAATTCTTGACGAGTCGCGACTTCCCGCGCGCTGGCAAACTTTATTGGTGAATTGAAATCGGTGGCGAGGTAAATTTTAAACGGGTGCGGCAACGATGAAACAGGGGAGATTTTTCCGCCAAACGGGCGGCGCGAGGCAGCCCCGTTTGCGGCAACTAGGGAGAAACCCCATGATCGGGGACTTGGGGGATCGTCCAAAAACGGTTTGGATGCGAAGCTGGGGCAAGAGGTGTAAAGAAGTGGAACATTCCCTCTAAACTTAAGGTATAGAGAAAATGCAGAAATTGCGGCACAACTCTAAAATGCTCGACCAGCTCGTGATAGTACGTGTATTAAGGCATCAGTAGAAAAGCCATCACTGGGCGGAAATGAGGTCACAGTCAAAGGTCAATGGGGCAAAGGCAGATTTAGAGCATTTCTGAGACATGGTCTGACGGAGCGATTGAAAAACTTTTTTGTTTCAGCGGTGACCTAGCATTTTTATGGCTTTATTGAAAGGACCATGAAATGTACTTACTGCTAACATGCGAAGAGTAAGTGTCCGATAACCTTTTGACCCTCAAGAGGAGGGCTAAACATGTTACATGGATTTGTTTACTGTTAGAAAGAATTTGACTGCCAGGTTTGCTAGTAGAATCTATACATGCCTGGTTGTATGAGGCTACAATGTCACAGTGAAATTTCAAAAGCTAAATTTGGTTGAAGAAGGTTTATGCTCCTTAAATCGTATAATTTCTATGGCATTTTGTACTGTCAGTGTGTTACATGTAACTTATGCCACTGCCAGTGGCCACTGCCAGTGCATGTGGTGGTGATAGTAAGGTGTAGTTTTTGCCTGCGTTAATTAGTTACAGGTGGTAGCTCTCTATTTCAGCCTGTAGGCTTGCGTAGGTAAATGGATGAGTGCTTACCTATTCTGTCTTGCAAATAGTTGTTGCTATGCTCTGTACGATGGGAGCTTCCATCTTTAATCTTAAGACACTCAAACGTACGCGCCATCTCGTGGCAACTTTCATAACGATCCCAACGAACATTTCTTCCTTCAACAAGGTTCCTGATACCATCCCAGTGTTCGAAATCAGGGCTATCCGGACCGTTTGTCCGTACTTGTTCATTTCCACGGAGGAGAAGTAGATCTGTCCGGTAGCTTGTCCGCCGGACAAGCAGCTTTTTAGAGCAATTTTTCATAATTTTCTACCATCGCTGGCCGCTGCTGGGAAACCCTAGTTAACATAGTATAAACATGGGCTGCCGGAGTGCCACCCGAATTAACATATAGTATAAACATTTATGTGAAGTTATAAAACGTTACCGCCTTGCTAGCTCCACGAAACGGTCTTGCTAGGGTTAGAAGACCGTCAGACAATCAGTCTGATAGACAATCAG